GTTGGTCCAGCATATTGGTGTAAATCATTTCAAAATGCAGAAGATTGTGGAGCAATACGTCATTGTACTGATACTGTTTGGCTTAATGATGAAAAATATACAAAAGTTGATTCATCAACAACATGTGAATGGTGTCAAAAGATTATTAAAAATACTCATACAGGCATTCAACATTTAGCAAACAATGAAGTTTGTTATATAAATGGAAAAGATATGAATATAATATTTTGTTTTGTAGGATTTATTAAAATCATCATTAGCTAAAGGATGTGATTTATTTCCATTAGCTACTGTTTCTTCAAAAGTGAGTTCTCAAATAAGTTTATTTAATATTGTGATGATTGATTTATTTTTAGTGTACTAATGTTGTCGAAAAATATGGTAATTCAGTTGCTTCATTGATGAAAAATAAAGTAAAGAACTATTCAAATAAAATAAACTATTACACATTTATTCATTTTTTTTCTAGCGTTATGCTACATTATGTCATTTAATGAATATTTGTTCAAATGAACCAGTCGAAGAAACATCAACCACTGAAAAACCAAGTACGTGATTAATCTATTCGTTTTTTGAATAAATATATATATATGGTTATTTATAGTGCTTCTTGGACATAAACGTTGTACATGGGGTCCATCTTATTGGTGTTCATCATTGAGTAATACACGTGAATGTAGTTCAATAGATCATTGTTCCGATAAAGTTTGGTCTCAACAATCAATTCAAAAGAAACCAAATGATAATATCTGTCAATATTGTGAATTTACTATTGAAAAATTACGTATTATTATTCAAGATAATAAAACAGAGGTATTTTAATCTAAATCCGATCTTATAAATTATTGAATCTGAATTTTAATATAGATTAATATCGAAAAATGGTTATCCGGTGCTTGCTCTATGTTACCAACAAAAGAATCCATCGATGAAGTAAGATGAACAAACCAATTTTTTTGTCTTATTTCTTTCTATTAAAAATTAATTTAGTGTGTACAAAAAATGAGTCAATATTCAAAAGAAATTCTCGTTTTAATTCAAACAAATATTGTAAGTTGATATAAATTAGAATTTCATTAACTAAATTATAATAATTTAGGATCCTGGTGTAATTTGTCATTTATCACATATGTGTGATGACGCTACAGTTCTTACACGAGTTAAAATTGATAATGAAAAACCAGCAGAAAAGAAGATTATCACATTAGAAAATGACGAACCACAACAAATACCTGTTGATGAACAATCAAAAATGTTATGTAATGTTATTGTTAGTGCTACACATGATCTTCATGCCAATCAACATAAAAATCGAGAAGAAATTCAAACATTCTTAAAAGATGATTGTCAAACATTATCAACTACAGAACTTGTACAAAAAGTAAAATAAAAAAAGATTTTAGGAAAAAAAAATAATAAATTATTTTTATTTATCTAGTGTGAAAAATTAGTTGAAAAACATGGTAATGAAATTTATGGACATGTTGCTAGTAATATTGTAAGTATAACAAAAAAAAACAGATCATTTTTATTAATAAAAAATTTATTATAGGAATTATCCGAAGTTTGTAACTATATGGGTGATTTTGCTGATCATTCTACTCTTCAAGTAAAATAATTACAATTAAATAGTTTTTTTTCTTAGTATTTAATTGTTTTTCTTTAGGCTCTTCCAGAAGTTCATTGCGAATTATGTACATTTGTTTTAACAACAGCTCAATATATGATTAAAGCTAAACATACTGATGTAAAATTTATGAATTTGATCAATATATATCTGAATTTATTATGTTTTCTAGGACAAAGTACTTCTATATATTGATGAACAAGTATGTTCACGTTTAACCGGTACAGCCAAGACAAATTGTAAGGCAATCATCGAAACAGATGGTAAACATTTAATTGATAATCTTCGACATGGAACAGTAAGAATTTACATTTGAGAAAATCTTCTTTTTTTTTAATAAAAAATTTTATTATTTAGAAATCATTACTTCTTTGTACACGTTTTCATGTTTGTATTGATGAAATTATATCGAAAACAAATTCAATTGAAAAAGTAAAAGAATAAAAATTAAAATATTTTTTAATTCGATCTTTTTTTAGAATGAAATGCGTTCATTTATCAAAGAAAATATTTGCGATAGTCTTGGATCATTTAAAGATGCTGTAAATATATATATCTTTCAAAATATATATTCTATACTAATATTCTATTGTAGTGTAATGCATTAATGGAAAATGATGGTACTCGTCTTATGCATTCACTTATTAATGATGTGGTATGTTTTATTCTATTAAATAATTTCGATTATTATGTATCTATTATTTATAGGAAGGTAATGATCTTTGTCGTTTATTTGGAATTTGTCCAAAAAAAATGTCATTACTTGATAATATGGCTATTAATGATGTAAGAGATTTCTTCGATATGTATATTATTTTATTTGATTCATATATATTAGGATAAAAATAAATGTCAACGATGTATCGATGATTTTACACGACGAAAACATATTGCTGAAAAATTAGTTGTATGTTAAATAGTTTTCTTTTTTGTCTATTAAAATTAAATTTGAATATATTTTTTAGAATCATTCAGCAGAATTTCTCGAACATCTTTGTGGACAATTACCACAAAAAGATGATGTATATATTATAAAAAAATAGAATTTTCTTCTTTATTTATTTTTGTTTTTATTTAAGTGTATCAAAACAGTTGATGAATCTATAAGTGCAATTGTCAATTTTGTTCGATCATTGGTAGATTTAGTTAAATTTGTTAAAAGATATTAAATCAATGATTGATTCTTTCTTAGGACCCACAACAAATTTGTACAGAATTAAAGTATTGCGATGCAGTATCTTTAAAACAAATTCAACCAACTCAAATCGAATCAACAGACAATGTTATTAGTGTAAGTATAGATTTGAATTTGTAAAAATCATTGATTTGCTCGTTAGTTTGTATTATCTTTAAAAAGAGATACTCTCAATTGTACATTATGCAAATTGGCATTTGATACTATAAAGAAAGCGCTTACAACAAACAAAACAGAGGTGCATTTCATGACCAATGAGCCGATAGATTATTTACTCAATACTGATTCTTATTGTTTATTTTTATTTTTTAGCAAGAAATTATCAAATATATTAAAGATGAAATCTGTTCAAAACTTGGATCCTTATCAGTATTGGTATGTAGTTTTGATAATATTTGATTGATACTATTCTAGTAATTGTTATTATAGTGTGAAAAAACAATGGATACTGAAGGTCCCTCTGTTATTGCTATGATTGCAAAAGATCTTGATCCAAAAAAAGCATGTACTACTATGGGTATTTGTTCAGCAAATGGTGCATTTGAAAATGTATGTTTATAAATAAAAAAAACCAGAGAGAAGTAAAAGTTTTCCTTTATTTTATTTAGTGTAATGATAAATGCGAATGTTGTATGAATAAGATTGAAATTCATGAAGTACAAGTTACAACATTTTTGGTAAAAATTATATAATTAACTTGAATGATGATTTATTGTTTCTTTTTTTGATTTCAGCGAACAATGGTTGAAAGTATAAAAACTTTATGTCAACGTATGCCAGGATCTGATAAAGTATAACTGTTAAAAAATAATGAAATAAATAACTATGCATATTTATTTATTTAGTGTCTTGAAATGACAGCAAGATTTGATGCCAATGTCAATAAAATTACTTCACAATTTGTAAGTTTATGTTTTTTATTATTACCCCTTAATCTTTTGTTTTCTTTCAATAGAATGCTAAACGAGTTTGTCAATTGTTAAATCATTGTTCAACAACTCCTGTTGAAGTAAGTTTTTTGATATTTATAAATATATATTTTAAAAAATTCTATCTTATAGATTGAAACATTACCACAATGTCAAACACGAATGGATTCTAAGAAACAATTTCTTCTTTCATCATTATCTACAATCAATCAAAATCTTAAAACACTTTGTGAATATATTCCAGTAAATATTTATTTTTGATAAATTTCCTTGTTATTAACTTTTATATTTTCTAGTGGAATAAAGATTGTTATTCGATCATTGATCGTTCAACTCTCGATGTTAATGAAAAACTTACACAATTAAATACTGAAACAGCTTGTGCATCTGGTAAATTATTAACTGAAATGATCTGTTCAACAAATAGTCCATTTGAGAAATTATGTAAACAACTTGTTACATTTGATGAAAATAATTCACGTATGGAAGCTTTATTTAAATCAATGTTTAATCAAAATGGACATGTAGAAAAAGAATTATGTGAACTTGAACAATCATCTGATTGTAAAACATCATTTAAATTAGATAATTGTAAAGATAAATGTGATTGTTGTGTACAATTTTATACAACAAAAAAGGATTATGATTTAAAAATGATTGTATGTAGTTTTATTAAAGAGAATAATTGCTTAAAAATTAGCTGTTTTTTTCAAATTTTAGGAAACTTTACGAAATGGACTTTTAGCAACTTGTGATTGGAGTTTATCAAAAGATTATTGTATTTCATGGTTTAATCGTGTTTGTGATCGAATGAAAGCTAAAGCTGATGAATTTATTCCAACAACTTTTTGTAAACGAATGAATTTATGTCCTATTGAACAACAAGTAACTAAAGTCGATGGTGATAAATGTAAAGTTTGTACTGATCGTCTTAATTCTCGACAAAATCATTTTCAAACAACAATCAATGAAGTAACAACGACACTTTCATCATTATGCAATGATAATGATTGTCGATCATTTGTACAATCAGCACAACAACAATCATTAAATCAAATAAATAAATTTAATTCAAAAACATATTGTCAACGTTATGGTTATTGTCCAGCTGAACAATCATCACAAACAGCATATATGTCGCATTTATTACTAAAAGCTAATAATCATATTGGTTCATCAATTGAAGGTTTAGATCAACGTTTAGAAGCTGCTTTAGCAAGTGATATTTGTTTTCAATATGGACAATTACGACCAATGTGTGATCATTTAATGTCATCACCACAAGCTCATCGTTATGCTTCTGTCTATATGGCTCTATTAAAAAATAATCCAAAATTAATTGATGATGATTTACGTGAACAAATGTCAACCAATGTTCATGCTGATGTTTGTCAATCATGTAAAGATGCAGTTCAATCATCAAAAGACTTTTGGAACAATAATTTAGTAAGAATAATTCATGTCATTTTCCTATATATATAATTTATTTGTTGTGATTATAGGACGCAGTTCGTAATGTATTACTTCGTACATGTGAACGTTGTACAGTTAAAGATCAATGTCGTGATTATTATAATCAAAAATTTGATAATCTTAAAGCATATTTAAATAATATTGATGCAGCACAATTTTGTCAAACTATTCATCTTTGTTCAACATCACATGTTACAATTGAAACTGATAAATGTTCAACATGTGTAGAAAGTTTACAACAACGAAAAGATGGTATTTTACATGGTATTACTCGTGTTGCTTCATATTTTGATGATCTTTGTCAACGTTTTGGTGGTAAACAATGTCAAGTATTTGTTAAACAAATTCAAGATTCATTTGAAGAATCTGTTCGAAATTTTGATCCAAAACAAACATGTTCTGCAATTGGATTTTGTTCAACAAATTCTGACATGGATTTTGCTAAATATGAAAAATATTTAGAAGATGAATTTGAGAAAAATATTTGTTCAACACTTGGTCCATTTCAATCATTATGTAAACAAATGATTCATGGTAATAGAAAACAAATTGAGACCATTAAAATTAATTATAATATCAAAGATTTAATGCACATTGGTGAGAAAAAAGGAGTCAACTTTTTTACGGCAGCAAATCTCAGTAAGATTATTCATTTGTTAAAATATTATTAAATTGATTATATTTTCTATTATTTAGATGAATGTAGTAGTGATAAATGTCAATGTTGTGTCGATCAAATAAATCAAAAGAAAGAATGTGCAAAGGCAACCGTTGATAATATTATGTCAGTCTTTATTCGCGGATGTGATTATTGTCCATCCAAGGATCAATGCCGTAAATATTGGCAAGATACTCAAACACAATATGATTCATGTATTGATGATATTGATGCAAAACAATTTTGTACTCGTCTAGGTTTTTGCAATGTTTCATCACTTTGTGCTAATATGGGTTTCTATCAACAATCTTGCGAAGAAGCATTAAATGCTTATACTCAATCACTTCAATATGATCCAAAAACACTTGAACAACATTTACCACATACATCGGTTGTTGTTTTACCAACAAAACTTGACAAAGAAGAAATTAATGATTCTAATTCCACTTGTATTCTTTGTGAATATGTTATGAATATTCTTTCAAGTTATATTCATCAAAAATCAACTGAACAAGAAATTGAACAAAGTTTACAAAAAGTTTGTCAAGATATGCCAGCAACACTTCGAAGTCAATGTCATGAATTAATTGATAACTATGGTCCAACAATAATTGCAACACTTATTGATCATTTTGATGCTTCAACAGTTTGTCAAAAACTTAATTTATGTACCAAACAAATGAAAGTTGAATTATCACATATAACAAAAGTAGATCAAGCAACATGTGGTGTCTGTGATTATGTTTCAACATATGTTGGTTTTGCATTAAAACGTGATTCAAGTGAAAAATCACTTGAGCATGCATTATCAACTGTTTGTTCACACTTATCAAGTGACCAAACTTCACAATGCCAAACATTAGTTGAATTATTTCGACCACATATTCGAAAACTAGAACTTCATCTTGGTAATAATTTCTGTAAACAATTAGCTATTTGTCAAACAGAAAAAGACAATACCAATGCAGTTAAACCATCAAAAATTCATCTACCACTGGAAAAAGATGATGAATTGAAACGTACCGTCATGAAAAATTTAGATTTAACTCCAGAATGTACATTATGTCATTATGTTGTTTCATATTTGGATGCAGTTTTAAAGACAAATAAATCTGAAGCTGCAGTTGAAGCTGCATTAGAAAGAGTTTGTACTATTTTACCAAGTAAGTTTGCAAATTCTATAATCAAATACCTAGTATAGATAATCTTGTAATTTTGTAGGTAAAGAACGTGCTCAATGTACAGAATTTGTTAAAACTTATGGACCGGTTCTTGCTGAAATGATTGCTGAAGTGGCTGATCCTGATACTATTTGTCGTTATCTTGGTATGTGTCAAGTTTCTTTACCAAAAGAAACAACAACAACAAAGAAACCTACACCAGTTACTTATCCAAATCATGATTACGTTCGTTTACCAACCGAACAAACAGAATTTACTTGCACTATCTGTAAATACATTGTTTCACGTATGAAACATGATATTGCTCTTAATCAAACTGAAGAAGAAATTATTGCTGGATTGAAAAAATCATGTGATTCATTTTCTGTACTTAATCTTAAACAACAATGTATTGATTTTGTTGATCAATATGCGCCATATATTATTCAAATGATTTCCAGTGATGTTGATCCAAAAGTTGCTTGTCAAAGTATTGGACTTTGCACAGCTAATTCTCCATTAACACTATCAACTCACCGTCAATCAACTCCATCAACTCCAGTATCAACATCGACACTTTATGGAAAATGTATATTTGGTATGAATTATTGGTGTACAAGTCGTCAAAATGCTGAATTATGCAATGTAAATAATATAAATGTTATTATAACCAGTATTATTAATTTTCTTTTTTAATTTTTAGGCTGTCGAACTGTGTCAACGTGAAGTATGGTCGAAAAAAAATAAAAACATTGTTATTTAATTCAATCAAGATTCGTTTTTGTTCATAAACTTATTTACCAGTTCTTTTTGTCCTGTGAAAAAAATAGCTTTTCATTTTCTTTTCGTTTTCTCTCTTAAGGTTTATGTATTATTACGATGATGATGGTGGCTTTCGAGAAACCCTTATCTTGAAAAAGCGTATTCTTATTCCAGCATGTTCTAAACATGAACGCATTTAAATTCTCGTTTTTTTTTTTGTTCTCATTCCATTTTTCTTCTTTTATGTAAACATATTCATACTATTCATCAACTGCTTATCTTGTAATATAGTTAGTCATTTTTTCTTTTCAATAAACTTCATCTTAAAAAAATCAATGTCGATAACGTCCAACAAAGTAACACATGACACTTCAACAAAATAGAATTCCTAGTAAAATCTTTTTCGCTTACAGCCATACCACGTTGAATACACCAGTTCTCGTTCGATCACTGAAGTTAAGCAACATCTGGCTCGGTTAGTACTTGGATGGGTGACTGCCTGGGAATACCGAGTGTCGTAAGCTTTTTTTTAGTTTCATTTTTATCATACATACTATTTTATTGTAAAATAGTATTCAAATGAAAAATCTTACAATATTCAAGATTTATAAGAATAAACAACCCACAATATTATTTATTAATCGAAAAAAATACATCAATTGTATAAAATAGAAAAAAATTTACGATGTGCAGTTTAGTCTTTGAAATTTTGTTCTGGATGAAAAATGAGAAATGGATTATGAACTACAAGAGTTTTTTCAATCTAAACCAAAGAATCATTATAAATGCAACGATTCCCATAATTCCAAGTTGCCCATAATATCCATAATACATAGGAATTTGTGGCATATATTGAAAATTCATCGAACTAACACTCGATAAAAAATTCAGTGGCATAAAAATACATGACATTACTGTCAATGTTAATATCGTATCATTAATTAATTCACCATTTAGAATCATATAAAAATCGATCAGTGATGTAATAGTATCAGAATATGAATCAATAGTATCATTCAATTCAACTGAATGATCTAAAAGACGTTTAAAATATTTATAGATATAATCATTAAGTACTAATACACCATTATCTAATAGATATTCATCATCGTCACCACTAAGAGTAGATGTTACCGGAGTATTATATGTACAATTATGACCAATAACTTGTCGTAAACGTCGTTTTAGTCGACGACGACATTGACGTAATGCTGATCGTTGTCGTTTTGGTAGAACTGTTTCTCGAGTTTTTTGAAGTTTGATAATTATATCTTTTAATGGTGCACATACAATTTTAAAATGAAGTAAATCATGTTTTATGCGAAACATTGATTTTAATGTTTCAACATTCACTACATCTGTTTTAGGTTTTGTTGAAAACATCAATTCTTTATCAATAAGTTCAGTTTCATGTAAAATTGAATCTAATACAACCATATAATTTTCTATAACAACATTAAGTAAACAATAAAATAAATAATCTATTTTCATTTTTTTCAAACGACCTTTTGATGGAATTGGTTTTTTAGCTAGACGATATTTAATTGTTGAAAATAATTTATGTGTACCATATTGTTGTATAGTTATTAATGTATTTTCTGTTAGATAAAAATAAATTTTTTCTTGTTCAACAACATGATTTGTTTCATTTAAATAGATAAGATTAAGTAAAAGATAAATATCTTCATTTAAAACAGATATTTTCATTCGTTGTTCAGCTGTTTGAATATCATCAATAACAAGTGAATGAGCATCAAAATAAATCAATACATCATGAATTAAATCTTCATTAATACTACTTATTTCCACCCATATATTTTTTCCTTTATATAAATCACCAAAATCAGATGGAATTTGATCAACATGATGATATTTGAGTTCTAAGTATGTCGATTCATCGTACCTTAAACAGACTTTATGAATAAATTTTGTTGCTTTACAATCACTGATGTGAGAAGAAGATATAAAATATATTTCTTACAGATAGATGTGAATTGAATATGTTGATTCGTTAACATGTGACGTAAGTTCAAGAGAAGTAGCATTCAATTCTAATGGCATAATGCAAATAATGATCTTATTGTTACTTCGATAAAAAAAATCTTTTCTGTAAATGTCTGACATTTATTTTACTTTCAATATAATAGATTAGATCAAATATCTTATTTCGTTTTAGTTGGTTGATATTTTATTTTATTATTAATATTATTTTTGATCACTAGAAAAAAAAAATGACAACACGAATAAAAAAAAGGATTAGAAGGAGAAGAGCAATAATAACAATAGTAATCGTAAAGTTTCTTCCTACTATAACGAACAAGAAAGCACCAATCTATCAGATTAGAAGAACAAAAAAAAAAGAAAATAATGCCAAGTTTATTATACAGTTGCACTTTGATAAGAACATTAGATATATACATGCACACACACAAACGAATATTTGTAGGTAGTAAGCATTAATTAATGGAAAAGTTACAAGCACATATTATTAAAAAAAGAAGAAGACAAGAAATATCTGTTAATGGACGAAAAAAAGTCATAGATGTGTCTCAATTATCTCAGTTGTTTTCTAAAATGTGAATCCGCCTCGAGAAAAAAGACTGAGAAAGAAACACTGTTCGTTCAATATTGTTGATTAATTATAAAGGTCGAACGTATGTAGCAGGAAAAAGACCAACCTGACCACGTACTTCACCTTGCCACCAATTTGCATCAGTTTGATCTAACACTCGAACACGATCACCACGTGCTAATTCGATTTCACCTTGTTCTTGTGGTTGAAAATCATACGCAGCTATAAAATTTTGACCATCTGTTGATGGAACAGAATGTTGTTGCATTGGAGGTGGTTGTATATTTCGTTGATCTTTTTGTTGATGATTGTTACTAGTCTAGTAAATAAATATATAGAATGTTTCTTTTTTTATTATTTCATTATCTTACCTGTGATGATATGGGTTTTGATTGTGTAGATGAAATCATATCTTTAAGTAATAAATTTTGTCCACGATTGACTGATGTTGTACGGTGATAGTCAATTAATTCATTGATTGAATCAAATTTAACAACCCATAGAAAATATTTGCCCATACCATCACGTAAAACTTTAAAATGTTGAACCTGATCTTGATATCTAGTTAATTGAAAAAATAATTATATATGTAAAGAAAAATTTATTAAAATAAACATACTTGACAGATAGCGAAAAATCACCAGGAGATGACTCACACATACGAACAAGAAAAGCACCATCAGGTTGATTAATTCGCTGACCATGAGCATCGTTTTGAAGGAGAATTTTCTCAGCTTCGGCACGAGATATAGTACCGTAAAACCAACTACAAAAAAGATCAATTCAGAATTTTTGAGAGTCTTTTATATATAATGATTTACTTACGGATTAGGAACCATTTCAATATAAGTTTTTGGTACATATCCTTCTTGTCCTTTTAATTCTGCTTTATACCAATTCATATCTTCTTCCGTATTAAGTATCTATTCAAATAATAAAAATATATATATTTTAAAATAAAATCTAGATATTGAAAATATACTTTAAGCATAGCTCCCTTTTGAAAACTAAGTTCATCCTTGGCCGTTGCAGCAAAATCATAACGACCGTAAGCTTGCATATTGTCTTTTCCTTATCAGTTGACGATATGAAGAAAGTATATAAATGTGAAAGAAATATCTAGAAAACGAAACAAAAAAGTTACCATCACAAGAAAAAATATATATGCGTTTCTAGATTATTCTTGTTTTCGAAAATATTCTTTTGATTCAACGGGATTAGGTTTAATCGTATTTGGGTTTGTTTTCTCATTCCAGTCCGCAGGACATACTTCACCATGTTGCTCAACATACTGAAAAGCTTTCACAAGTCGAAGAGTTTCATCAACGGAACGACCTACAGGTAGGTCATTTATTGTTATTTGTTTTAATATTTGTTGTTTATCAATAATAAATAAACCACGTAATGCAACACCACCATTATCATCAATTAAAACACCATAACGTCGTGCTATTTCCTTAGAGAAATCACTTAATAACGGATATTTAAGTCCACCAAGTCCTCCTTGTTTTCTCGGTGTATTTATCCAAGCTACAAAAGAAAAACAAGTATTAGAAATTAGAAATATTTTTACTCTACCTAGATGGCTATGTATTGAATCAGTACTACAACCGATAACTTCTGTATCAAGTTGATGGAATTCATCTAAACGTTCATTAAAACCTACAAGTTCAGTTGGACAAACAAATGTAAAATCTAATGGATAGAAAAATAGCACGACGTATTTTCCTTTATAATCTGATAATTCAATATCTTTGAAATGTCCATTAAAAACTGCTTGACCTTTGAAATAAGGTGCTGGTTTAGATATCACCGGGAATGAAGATTGATTTGTTGTTATGCATGCGATATGTTGAAATGAACTAGATGATGTTTTAATTGCAAATGAATTTAAACGACGAAGGATATGACGATACATAGGGTAACGTTTTTTTTTGTCTTATCTCAATCTAAAAATGATAAAGATCGTTTAAAGAAATTGAGTTTTAATTGAATATTGAATTGAATGGTTGAATGACTCGATTGATGTTATAGGTATACATAAATATAAATAACAATGAAAACAAAACTTTCATGATAAAAGATTTTATAAAACGAAAAAAACCTCACAAAAAAAGATTTTCTTTTTGAGAAATTCTGAGTTACGATTGTGTTCTTTTTTTTTATTCTTTTCTTACACACGAACATTTACTTTAGATAGAGGTCAGTTGGATGATTTCAATTGGATGAAAGAATTTTGTATTGTTTATTTATATTTGCATTGCCAAAGTTCTTTTTATTCGAACAAAGTTTATCATACGAAAAAAAGAAAGAATGAAATATCTAATATTTTATTGTTCATTTGTTATACTTGCCTTTTATGCATTATCAGGTTAGATAAAATAAAGTCTTACTTTTGTATTAATAATTTGATTGTTTAGTTGTATCAATAAAATGTTATGTCTGTAAAGAACCTGATAGAAAATGTCGTGATCCATTTCAAAATGATACAATGTTTTTAAAAGATTGTTCACAAGTTGGTATGGGTAATGCAACAATGTGTCGAAAATATATGTGGGAAAGTAAGATGAGCATGTTTGTGAATTTGATATAATTCTATTGAATTTTTTTTTCTTTTAAAGTTGGTGATGGAACGCGATACTATATGCGTGGTTGTGCTTTACGTGGTCGTGTAAGTCGAAAACAAGGTCGTGATTGTATCGAACGTGTTGGTATGTATTGAAATGAATTCGAATGTAATGTAGAATCGATTCTATTTGATGAGTTAGAAAAAAATGATCATCAGAATAATTGAATAGATGTGTGAAGAAGAAGAAGAAGAAGTTTTGATCGATAGAGATAATTACAAACTAATGTAATATATAAGTAGATAGAGACATGTTCTACAATATACTTGTCAAACCATGAAATGAAGGACAACTTAACATTTTATTAATTCTTAGAAAGCATCTCTTTTTTTTTCATCATGAATAAATTGACTGTTTCATTAGGCACATGGAAAACAAAAATGTGGTATTGTCAATGTGATAATAAAGATGGATGTAATGGAAGTATGAATAAACAAATGTCAAATTGGATAATTCTATTTGGTATTAGCCTTCTCTTATTCCAGTGGAAATCAAATGCTCAATAATATAATTTTCACTCTAATCATTATATTTGTGTATATAGTATTCTCTTTTTTGTAATCATTAAACATTCCATCCAGTTTTGTGAATCTCTGTTTTTTTTATATATATATTATGAGTTTTATATAGTTGCTACTTAATTGTTTCTCACGTTTTTTTGTACTGATATCGTAGAATTGTTTTTTAGTAGAATGATCTAGAGCTTTTTTTTGTACATTCCAAACATATTTGTTTATTAGTTTGACTCATCTATACAGATGTGCATATTATCATTCATTCCGTTTTTTTTATCATAGAATTCAATTTAATAATAAAATAATTTTAATCAATATCTTCTAAAAGCAATCTTATTAAATTAATAACTTATTTCTAGACTATAGTAATTCTACATTTTCCATTGTTGTCCTATTGCGACCTCTGTAGTAAACACACTCATTTGATCACAGCTATTTACTAACAAAAAAAAGAGGAAGCTAACTGTCTTCGTCTACGCTACTTTATATCACAATCTTAGTGAATCATTTTGATAGCTGACACGTCATCTAATTAAAAAAATTTATTTTAATTGTTACTATTTTAGATGGAACCGTGGTATTCAGGTGCTGTTGTTGATGCTGTACGTGAAGCTAAATCTCGTCGAGCTCTTTTTCTTGTCTACGTTCGTGATGATTCCGAACAATCACAATTTATGGATAAAATTTGGGTAGATGTGTGGACAAAATTAACTGATACCTCGAAAATGATTGCTTTACGTCTTGATAAAGATACGGAATCATGTAGTCAATTTATTGCTATTTATAAAGTGCAAATATATCCAACAATATATTTAATTAATGGTCAAAATGGACAAGTATTGAAAATAGTTGATCAACCGGTTGAAAATTCTACTAAATTACAAGAAATAATTGATGATTCTTTAAATGCTATCGAATCAAAACAACCAGCAACTGTTGAATCAACAAAAACAATCGATGAAAAAGTAATTTATTAAATCATAAATGTTTTTTATTAATTTATGTCTATAACCTATAGGTAGCTGAAGCTCGTGCACGTCTCAAAGAACTTCATGATAAACGTGAGGAAGAAGCAAAAGAAAAAGACAAAGAAGAAGAAATGAATCGTCGTCGTCTTGGACAACAGATGCTAGTAGATAAACAAAAGAAAGATGAGGAATTATTTCGTAAACAAGCTGAAGAAATTCGTCGTGATCGATTAGAACAACAAAAATTACAGGAAAAACTTAAAGCTCAAATTCAACAAGATCGAGATGAAAAACGACAAAAAAACGAACAACAACATTCTCCTCCAGCTGAACAACCAAAACCAAAAGCTACAACTGCTCCTATTGAAACACCAAAAACCAATTATACTCGTTCACGTTTACAATTTCGATTGACTGATGGTTCATTTTTTACTGAAGATTTCTCATGTGATGCTCATATGAATGATGTTTATACATATTTGAATGAAACATTACCAAGAGATCAATATAAAATTGGTTCATATACACTTCGAACAATACATACACGTGTTACATTAACAAGAGATGATCCGAAAACATTAAAAGAACTTGAACTTGTTCCAACAGCAGTTTTACTTGTTCTTAATCGTGGAAATGTTAATAATTCATCAACAGCTATTAGTACAAATAATATATTTCAATCAATTCCATTAGTCTTTGCATGGTTTATGATGCAATTTAATTTTATTTATCAATTTATTTTTGCAAAATTATTTGGAAATCGTACTCCAACAGAACAGACAAGACCAACAACAACAACATCAACCACATCAAGAGCATCAAATACGAATGAACGAAAAACAACAAAACAGGAAAATTTTAAAACGGATTCAACAGAAAAATCAACTATTCGACGTTTTCATAATACACAAGATGATAGTGATGATGAAGAAAAAAGTACATGGAATGGAAATTCTACACAACAATTGTGACTTTTTTATTTTATTCTCTTTATACAATAAATTTATTCGCAAATATATTTACATTATTTTTCATATAATTTGACAAAAATTGAAACGATGACATTTATGTTTACGATTGTTTTTCTTAGTTCGTTGTTTGAAATTATTCGATTCTAAAAGTTGTTCATCTATAAGAGTTTGAAAACGAGCTAATTCAACTAATGATAAATTTTCTTTAGTTCGTTGAAGTGAATCTTCTTGAAGTAATGTCAAAATTTCTTGAGAATCACCATTTACTAAATATTTATTCAAATAAATTAAACTTGAACCATTATAATCATATAAAAGACGAGACATATGCATAAGATTATGTCCTATTAACCAATCTTGAACTTCATTTTCAGTCCATTCTAAAATATTATTCGAAGTTACTGATGTTAATGGCAGAGGTAAAGGTATTGGTAAATTAGTAACTATATTATCCGTATTATTCAAAGATATAGATTCTTTGTGTAAAACATCATATTCTTGTAGAACAGGAGCTTCTAATTCTTTAATTAACATTTGTATCGCTTGTGAAAATTCATATTTGGTAAAATCAACATATAATAATTGACCAATAAGAAATAAAAGCCAACCATCAGGTTTATAATGTTTTTCAAGAAGTACTGGAACTATTTTTAGTTGCCGTTGAAATGCATAATGTGCTTCTGCTCGACAATAATTACTTCGACGATATTGTTCACTCATACATATCAGAATTACATTTGAATGTTCGATAGCTTGTGCCATTGCATCCATTATATTTCCATGCATTTGATTAAAATCAATCCATACTCGATAACCACTTTTGATTAATTCGTCATAGATTTGTTTACAAAGAGTTTTATCATTATGTGAATAACTAATCATAATATCAAATCTTATTTCAGCATTTTCTTCTGATACAGCTCGATCTTCATGTAGAGATTCTAGATTCCATAAAATTCCATTTGCAATTTTTCGCATTTGTGGATTATTTAATTCTTGTTTCAAATGTGTTAATTTAAACATTAATTGTCGATTTGAACGAAGTTGTTGTTGAATATCATGATTAAATGAAAGAGCCCATATTATATCATAGACTAATGGATATTCATCACACATTTCAAAGAAAAGTGTTATTCGATTTGTATCAGCTGTGTTCTGTTGTATAGAATCATTTTTTGCCAAATTTAAAAATCCTGACATAAAAAAAATTTAGTAATTTAAAGTTGCCGAAAAAGTTTAAATTTACCTCGAAGTAGTTGTGGAACAGATGTTCGTTGAAAATTATGTTCCGGATGATTCCAAGCATGTTCAAGCATATAAAAGAAATATTCAGAAATATTATTTGTAATTTTTAATTCTTTTAAATGTTCATCAGATAAAAGTTGTCCTAACATTCCATAGGCATACAAATTAATTCGAATATGTTTTGATGTTTCAACTAATAGTAAAAGTATTTCTAATAATTTCGTTTCATAACGCATAAAACAAACTAAATCACATATTTCTGATATAGCTAATAGAAAATTTAAAATAACATCAATAAGAATTGTTTCATCATTAGATCGTTGAGCTTGAATTTGTTCATAGAATGGTTTATAACCAATTATACGTATTAATGATTGTATATATTTATGTGATATATCGATTGATGGTAAAAGTATTTTAATACATTTTTCTCTATCACTACCCCATGAACAACATGAACAAATAAAATTAATTAAATGTGTAATACATGAAAGTAATTCTTTATTCCATGATTGAATAGTAAAACTATGAAATTCAATTAATTCTAAATAATCTTCCGCTAAATAACGTAAAATATCATCACCTGTAAAAGGAAATTTTTGGTGTTTGCAAAAAAGATAAGAACTTATAAAAAATGAACATGTTCTTAAATAGAATAATTGTTTATAAGTTAAAATTGAATGATGTAATTGATTTAAATAAAATTTATATTGATCAACCATGACAAATTTCGAAGAAATAACATATTCCATATCAGTAATTATTGTTGACATTAAATATTGTGTATCTTCATACATAAAATATGAAAGATTATCGAACCAAAGACTTATTATAATAAAATATGAATCATTATCATTATCATGTTTTTCAATTTGTTCAAATATATCATTAATTAATTCTTTTGTTTGAGGAATTAGTAGCGACGCTTTTTTCTCGGAATCAATTTTTATTGAAGTAAAAATAAGTTTTTTATTAAATGCAGCAAGATGATTAAATAACTCGAAATATTTCGATTGATTTATCCATTGATAAGAATCACTACTAAGTATTTTCCATGCCCAATGTTCAAGTATAAATAATGAATTGTAATTATCAGAAATAATTTGTAATAAAGATTCATTGTCAATATTTTGAAAAATATTTATTATTTTACACAGGATATCATCGCATAAGGTAGTTGTAGTTAATTTAGCAACAAGGTCTTCCATATTATCTCCCATTATTATTGGCTAGAATATACTAACGTTTAGAGTAGATATTTTTAGTTGTTTATGATTGTATACTAAACTATCAAATAGTAAGTATAATGGATGTTTTTTTTCTTCTCCTCTTTCTCTATGACAATAACGTTTACGTAGAAAAATACGGATAATATGATAGGCCATATATGTTACGTATTTTTTGTTTTTGTCGTACTGGTGACGAGTTGTTTTTATTCAATAGTATTTACAATTGAAAATATTTAAGCAGTTAATTATCCTATCAATGAAAAAATGTATTATAATTTATAATAATATTGATTGTTGTATGACAATTTACTTTCAACTTTGTAAAAACTACATGTAAAAATAAGTTATTGATTTATATTTTATTCTCATATACAGAACACATATCATTGTCGTTCTTAGAATTCCTTTTAGTTTTTATATATTAAAAATGATTTTTTTTTACATTATTTGACAGCAAACTAAAGGTTTTCTCTTTAATCGATTGAGTGTTACTTTGGTAGGTTTAGTCGTTAGCGAAGATGATGTTAAAGATTGTTTTTGTTGATTTATAAGAGAACGAAAATAGGATAACTCAACTAATGATAAACTTTGAGATGTTCGTCGAAGAGAATCTTCGTGAAGTAAAGATATAACTTGTTGAGAATCAAGATGTTCTATGTGTTCATGCATATAAAGTAAACTTTGACCGTCAAGATTTGCGAATAAACGAGACATTTGCAATAAACCATGGCTAGTCAACCAATGTTGAACATGTATTTGATCCCATTCCAGTATATTTTCTGGAATTTTTAATGCTACGGGTGTAATAGACATGGAAGTATCATCTTCTACTTTTGAACAAACTTGTACCATACCTATCTCGTTGATAATTGGTGCTTTCAATTCTTTAATTAACATTTGTATCGCTTGTGAAAATTCATATTTAGTAAAATCTACATAGAGTACTTGACTAACTAGAAATAGTAACCAACCATCAGGTTGATAATGTTCTTGTAAAAGAACTGGAACAATTCTTAGTTGTCGTTGAAATGCATAATGTGCTTCTGCTCGACAATAATTACTTCGATGATATTGTTCACTCATACAAATTAGAATTATATTCGATCTTTCAATGGCTTGTGCCATTGCATCCATAACATTTCCATGCATTTGATCAAAATCAATCCATACTCGATAGCCAACGTTAATAAGTTCATTATAGATTTGTCGGCAAACAATTTCATCTTGATGTGAATAACTAATCATAATTTCAAAAGTTTTCTTATTACTTATTTCTGATATTGTACGATCATTATGATTCGATTCTAAATTCCATAATATTCCTTGTGTAATTTTTCGCATTTGTGCATTATTAAATTCTTTTGGTAAATGAGTTAATTTTATCATGAATGATGAATTTGAACGAAGTTGCTGTTGAATATCATGATTAAACGAGAGAGCCCAAAGTATATCGAATATCACTGGATATTCATCACACATTTCAATTAAAAGTGATACTTTATTTGTATCTGCTATTTTCTGTTGAATAGCATCAATTTTAGATAAATTTATTAAGCCTAGGCAATATTTTAGAAATAAAATTTCAATATAAATAATTTTTTATTTACCTTTTAGTAAATAGTACATTGGTATTTGTTTATATCGTTTTAATGGATGACGCCATGCGTGTTCCAGAATTTTAAAGAAATAGATACTTGCACTATCAGATATTTTCAGTTCTTTAAAACGTTCACTACTTAGAATTTCAGCAAGTATTCCATATACACGTAAACAGATTTTATCATATACAGATGTTTCAGCAATAGCTATAAGAGTGTCAGGTAGTAGTATTTTCGAACGTAAATACCAGATAAAATTTTGATTTTGTGCTATATTAATGAGAGTAAATAAAGTTGTATCTAAAAGGATTGTTTGATCATTTGTTCGTTGTGTTACAATATATTGACGCAATGGTTTATAATCCACAATACGAATAAGTGCGTCGGTGTATTCACAAACTGTTAATTCATTAGGAAAAACTATTCTCGCTTGTGATCCTTTTTCTCCTCCCCACCAACAACAAGAAACAAAAAATACAATAAGATGTGTGATACACGTAAGTAATTGTGAACTCCACGAATCTATAGTATGCGTCTGAAAAATAATTATCTGTACATAATCCAAACCAAAATGACGAATTATATTTTCCGAAGTGTATAAAAAGTCTTGTGCTTTTGCCATTAAATATGAGCTTATAGATGATGAACATGTTTTTATATAGAATAATTGTTTAGCAGTAAAGATTGATTCTGATAATGATGATTGCCGAAGTTGAAATAAATAAGATTTGTACTGATCAGTCATAATATAATGACGTGCAATATAACTATTAATATGAGTTATAGTAGTAGATGCTTCAAACTCAGGATTATCGATTAGAAAAGACGAAAGATTATCAAACCACATACTTTCTATGCTGATCAACGGATTATTATCATTGCGACTGTTTTCAATTTGTTCAAATATGCCATTGATCCAATCTATTCTATCAGGAATTAGTAGTGATGCTTTAATATTAGCTTCAATATTGTCAGAATTAAAAATCAAATTTTTATTGAATATTGCTAATGTATGAAATAATTCCAAATAATCTTTTTCTTCAGTCCATTGATGAGAATTTTGAGAGAATAACTCCCATGTCCAAAGTTCAAGGGTAAGTATTGATGAATAGAATTCAGAAATAAATGCTGGTAAAAGTATGGAATTTTGTTGTTGAAGATGGATTGTGATATTATGAATAATATCAGATGACAATGAAGATATTGAAAGTGCATTAATTAATTGTTCAAAATTATTTTCCATCGTTTGTGTTTATATCAGTTATAATTATGTACTTGATTAACGTTTGTTCTTTTGATTCAAATTTAGTACGTGCTCATCGTTCTCATTTACATATATTTACCTTTTTCTTATACCTTTTGCTATTTCGTTCGTCATTTATGATTATCGGCTCGTAACCATGTGACAGATAACATCATATGAAAACATTATTTATCATAACGTTATGTTTGACAATAATAATCAGCTCAGTTATCTAGTCGCTAAAATATGTATTTTCTTCGAATGATTAAATAATTCTTTCGTAATGAAAATATTAAAATTGCAATAATTAATTGTTCAAAACTATTTTCTATACTCGTCGACTGTATTATTTGATTAGATAAATTAACAATATATGTACACATCATAATAAATACTATTTTAATTAAGAACTAAATCTCACTAGTATGTTGAAGATTAACTAAATAAGAAAGAGATAGAGTAAGCAGCTTTGACAACTAGTTTAAACTTTTCAGTAAAATAGATAAAAGAATGATAAATCTAAACATTCATTTGTTGTGATTTATTTCTGTTTCACAGAACGAAATATATTGACTCTGTGTATTGTTATCGTGAAAAGAAAGCGCAATCTATTGACCAGAACTGAGAAGAACAACAAAAATGAATCGATCGAAGACGGATAAAAGGAAAGCCAACCATTATTCACACATGTTTCACTTTTTAAAATTTGATATTGATTTTATGATTGTTATTTATCATTCATAGTTTGGAAAAAAAGAGAAGTCACTTGCAAAATATTTTAAAACAATACGCTTACATACACTCAAAGTACACATTTACACTAAACCTTTAATTGATATCAAAGGTCACTATAAGAGTTATTTTTAGAATAAAAAAAAGAAAAGATTTTATTATTTCTCTTTCTTTTGACTATTATCATATGAAAGAAAAAAGATAAGATATAAGAACATAGGCTCTTCAATTCATTTTATATCATTCTATGTAAGTGTAGTCATGACAGAAGAAATTGCTTATTCGATATCAACTGTTTCAACTCACGAACAAAATGATGAAATATCTGAGGTTTCAGCAACAGAAAAATTGGTTATTGAATCAATGATAATAACACCAACGTCAGTTAATCGTACATTTGCACCATTAAATACACCTTTATACCGTCGTCGACAAACTTTAGCAATTCTTGTATGGTTTCTTATGCCATGGACTTGTCTTTATATATCATTTGTACTTCTCCGTAGTCATAATTGGTATATTGTTACTGCATTTATTACTTATTTAACATGGATGGTTTTTTTTCAAAAATATCCACGACAAGGTGGATTGAAACAACAATGGCTTCGACGACTTCAATGTTGGAAATGGTTTGCTGGTATTAAAAGAAATTTATCTTCTTTATTTTTTTTAATTTCTATTTAAAAAATTATTTATTTAGAGTATTTTCCAATACATTTACATAAAACATGTGATTTACCACCAGATCGTCCATATATATTTGGTTATCATCCTCATGGAATAATTTCATTAGGTGCTTTCTGTAATTTTGCTACTGAAGCCACTGGTTTTGAACAAAAATTTCCTGGTATTAATCTTCGTTTACTTACATTAAAAGCAAATTTTCGTATACCATTTTATGGTTTCTATTTATCTATGATGGGTTTATGTGATGCATCAAAAGAATCATGCAATTATGTATTAGAAAAAGGCAATGGTAATAGTATACTGTTAGTTTTAGGTGGTGCAAAAGAATCTTTAGATGCTCATCCATCAAATGAATATTTTTTAACATTAAAAAATCGTAAAGGTTTTGTTAAAATTGGTTTAGCTAATGGTGCAAATCTTGTACCAATTTTTTCTTTTGGTGAAAATGATCTTTATGATCAAATAGCAAATCCACGTGGTTCAAAAGTACGAGAAGTACAAATAAAAATTCAAAAACGTTTAGGTTATGCAACACCATTCTTTAAAGGTCGTGGTATATTTCAATATGCAATTGGATTTATGCCAAATCGACGTGATGTCAATACATATGTTGGTGAACCCATTGAATTACCAAAACTAGCACGTGATCAAATTACACCAGAAGTTATTGACAAATATCATGAAGAATATATGGAGTCATTAAAACGTTTATTTGATACACATAAAGCAAAACATGGCAACGCCGATGCAACAATTAAGTATATTAATGATAATGAATGATAATATTAAAAAAAGGACAAGTTTCTTTTGTTTTTCTAACCTATACGCGTATAAATAATAAGTAAAAATACAAAGAAAAAAAAACGCTACGCATTAAAGATTTTGTGCATTAGTATGTATAACATAAAATTAATAAAGTTTATTTTCGGTTATTCTTTTTTCCTAAAAAGCCCTGAGATGATTTTCTATATTTAATATGCATTGCTTGCATTGGTTGATTCATCATCATACTTGAAGTAACTTCACCTTCACTTTTACCAGAATTATTACTTTCATCAGATCCTGGCGGAGTTGTATGTCCATTTTCTTGCTGCTGAAAAGGAATTGAACCTGGAAATTGAGGAGGAATTTCACCAATAGATAATGTATGAGTACCGCCAGCAGGTGAAAAAGGTGGTGTTGTTATACTCATACTAGCAGGTGTTACTGAGGAATATCGACGTCGTTGATCTAAACATCATTTGAAAGATAGAATTAAAGGTATGTATTCGATTTTCTAAGTTCTTTACAGATAACCTTGTAACAACAATAACATATGTCATTAACAAATTTAAAAATAAAAAAGAAGCTAGGGATATGTAATTCTCTAAAAAAATATAAGATTCAAGGATATTACTGAACATTTTCTTAGAAATAGGTTTCTCACTGTTTATGGTACTACTTTCTAAAATCTTGGATCGCTATCTTAAGTGTTCAATAAAGTTTGTTGTCATTCAAATTCTACACTTCTAAACTTGAAAATGGCATACGTTTATATCGAAAGCTCATGAGTAAAAAAAATGTGATCTATTTTTCAAACCTAATAGTCGTTGTGCTTGTTTCATAATAAGTTCTGTATGTGGTCGATCTCGACCTAATAAATCAATTTGACCTTCACTTCGATCGTCAAACCATGCATGATCACTAAATGGACTGTCAGTTGATGAATATGGAATAGAAAATGTTGATAAACTGCTTGAACTAGTTGGCGATGATGATGATGATGATGATGACGATGATGTTGATGATACAGGTGAAGGTGTCTTTAGTCTTGGAGGAGATGGTGGTCGGGGTGGTGGTTGCGGAATAATAACAGGAGGTGGTGGACGAGGAGGTGAAGGAGGACGAGGTAATTCAATAGATGCCATAGTAGATGCATCACGTTTTTCAATAACTGGTGGTAATGGTGGTGGTGGCGGTTGTGGTTGTGGTTGCACAATAGGTGGTTGCGGTACTCGCGGAGTAGAAGGTGGTGATGGACTATCACTTGGATCAGGTGTTCCAATACTATGATGAAGTACAGTAGGTAAAGGACGATCAAGATCTTCAAATGGAGTAACTGAACGTGGTGTAGTAGATCCACTATCAGATGAAATTTCGTGACCTAAAATTTCCAACATATTTTCTTCTAAAAATTATTTATTCGAGTAAACAAAATTCTACCTGTAATTTCTGGAGTAACAACACGTGCATGATGTGTAGGTGGTGGTGGTGAATGTGGTGGAGTTGGTTGAGGTGTTGCTATAGCATGTTCTTGTGGCCACTGATAATTATCAACTAAAGCTGTTGTCGTTGTTGTTACTGTTGCTGTAGGTGTTGTTGTACGCGGTGGTGGAGCAGGAGGTGGTGGTACTATATGAATACTTTCTCTTGGTGATCGAAAACCAATCATTTGTGCAATACGTTCTTCAAGTACTTCACGTGTTAATGCTTGAATTAAATCTTGATCAATTGGTTGTCCCATATCAATAAATAATTGAAAACCATCTTGTCCAAGTAAATCAAGTAAACGATCATGAATACTTCGATCATCACTACTAGAACTTATTGATGAACGTGCACTAATAACATCACGATGTTGTTGTATAGGTACAGTTGTTTGTTGATTTTGTAATTGACTCATAAAACGAGCAATTAATTCTTGTTCTAACCAATCAATAGCACCTGTTTGTAATGTATCATATTGTCGATTACGATAACCTTCATCATGAGGAATTGTTGGTGGAAATCTCGGACCATCATATGTCTGTTGATAATCATCTTTTGTTTGATGATAACCTGGAATTTCAATACCTTGTCCGTCATCATCATCATCGTCTTCATTCTCAGACCTTTCATTGTCATCTAAATCAACTTTAACTGATTCAGTTCTATTACCAAAACGAACTTTTTTTGTTGATGGATTAACATCAACACTAGGTAAAACATGAGGTGTTAATCGATGTTCAGAAGGTATATAAGTTGGTTGGAAAGTACGTGTATCACGGATTTGTGGTGGACCCAGAAGAATAACACCATCAGGACGAGTATAATATTCCGGTTCGTACATAGGTTGTGGTACTGATGGCGGTGGTGGTTGTGGTGTCAGACTAGGTTTTTCTATTACACGACGAGGTGGCACAATTGTACGTGGTGAAGATTTCTATAATTAAATATAATGTATAAGAATAAATATCAATCTATAGACTTACTAATCCAGTATCTCTGACTGGTATTTGTTCAATTTGTTTTGCTTGTTTAGCTTGTTGAGCAGCTTGATGTTTTAATTTAAAATAGGGTTGTTTACCATCTTTTTTAATTTTTTGATACAATGAACGTCCATATACGGCTTCCATAAATGCATCACTATACGGTTGTGTTGATGTTGTTGATTCAGTTATCGGGGTTGTCTGTTTTCCTGTACGTGTTGTTGAATGACGATCAAAAGCTAATTGTGTATTTGATGTTGCTCGTTTTTTTGTAGGTATTATTTTTTGTTTTTGCTCAACATGTATTTCATCTTGTTCTAATTTAAGTTTAACTTCTTCACGTACTTGTCGTGTTACTTGTTTAACACATTGTTCAACAAGACGTTGAATACGTAATGATTCATTTGTTGTAGCTTCTAAAGAAGTAACATCATTTTTCCGTCTTTGCAATGTTAAATAATTTTCATCTAATAAATTTTTTGCTTCATCTATTTGTTTAATACGATCATGTAGATCAAGATTTTCATTAATTGGTCGAATCGGTTTTGGTTGAAGTGGTAATGGTGGAATAGAAGTATTTAAATATTTATCAAATGGTGGATAAGCATCATTTAGAGCATTTCCAGTTATGAATGAAGTTGATGATGGAATGAAACCATCAGACATTATTGATGGTGGTCGAGGAAAAGGAATAAATGGACGTGGATACGATGAATCAGGTGATAGACCTTTTGCAGGCGAATGTGATCGAGAACGTGAACGTGAACGATCACAAACTGAACAACCATATGGTAATGATGGTTCAATATTAAAATGGCTGTTAGGTGGTTGTTGTTTGAATGTAACTGGTGATCGAGCTTTGCCAACACGTGTGTTAGTATTAGTAACACGACTTGGACGTTTATTTGTTGCTGATGGTGATACTGAAGTTTTCTTGCGTGTATGATGTTTTTTATGGGATTTAGTATGACGAACAGGTGATGGTGATGTTCCAATAAGTGCATCAAGAAAATGACATTGTTTTTGTTGTTGTGGTGTTGTATTTGATTCTAATGTAGATATTTTATCTTCATAAAAAGGTGATTTAGATTTTGGTTTTGTTGTTTGTACAAGATCAGCAAGTTGTTTAAGTACTTGCTGTTGTTGTTCTTGCACTTTCTCCATATATTTCATTCGTGTATCAACACAATCATTTAATAATTTATTTGTATCAGATGTTTGTTGAACTGTTGTTACAGGTACAACCACACCATTTGTATATGTTTTTTGTTGTTGATGAATTTGATCGAGAACAGTATTCATTTTTTGTTCAAGTTCATTTTGTAGTTTAAGAAATGGTTGAGTAACAGAAACGGCTATTGATGCAGCAACAGTTGCAGCAAGAGATGTAGCTGTTTGTTGTTGATCAGTTGTTGATGTACAATCATTATTATTAGTATTTGAAAGTGATTGAATAGGTATAGGACGTTGTTGAGCTTGATTTATTGAAAAACGTTTAGCTAATTGTGAACGAGCAAAAGCAGCTTTGGATGTGGTTGGATCTTTATCAAAACGTGATATTTGAACATCAGGTGTTGAATGTACTTGAGATGGTATTACTGGTTTTGATGATGTATATGGTGTTAATAATGGATCATCTAAATAAAATGGAAAATGTCATTTCATCAATATGTATAACAAATCGTAATTACTTACTTGTATCAATTGGATTTTCATTTTCTCGTTCACCATTATCTTCAATACCAACAATCGTTATGATAGGAAGTTCATCTTCAATAGGTGTTGCATTTTGATATTGTTGCTGTTGCTGTTGAGGTTGGTGATGGTGGTGTTGCTGTTGTCGTTCATCACGTGAAGAATTGGTTGATAGAGTAACATCGATAGATGATTGAATTAAATTATCAGTTGAATTTCGATTTCCACCTGATGTTAAATGAGGTGCATAATTGATAATTTTCTCTTGTCTTTTTGAACGTGAACCTTGACTTGTAGCTGATGATGGTCGAACTAATTTAATGTCATCAAAATGACGTTTAGAATTATTTGATGGTATTGGTGGAATACGATCATTTAAACAAGTCATTGTTACTACTGAATCATGATCATCATTATCGACTATTTCTACTAATGGTTCACGTTTTTGTTGATTAGGTGTAGTTTGTTCAGATTTAGTTGTATTCAAAAGGAGAATTAGATTATCGTCTTCCATGAAGAAAAAAATGCCTTATTATAATAAGAAAAAACTAATTCTAAAAGAAAAAAAAGAATCTATGATTATTCAACAGGCAATCGGTCATTTGGTTAACTTTTTTTATTCTGTATTGTCTGTCATGTATATGTTCAACTCAATTTTTTCCATGACAACTGATGACATTAGCACTTAAAGTTCTTTTGAAAACCATGTATTTATTAAACAATACATTTTTTATTTCTTTAAAAACAATCTAACTTACGAATCTTTTTAAAATTTAAATTTTGACATATATAATTATTATAATTCACAAACGACATCTATCGAACATTATACACGATAGAGCAGTCATCAAATACAGCAGATGATAAATATCGTTGAATATCAACTAGCATATCATCGAAGTAGTTCATATTATTTTATATATAATGACAGAATCAAAAACATCATCAACTAATTCTCTATTATCAAAAGCATGGGTTTATTATGAACAAGGTCCAATAACACAAATACTTCAACAAACAAGTATACCTATTGATACTGAATTAGGCTTAAATGAATTGATTATTGAAATAAAAGCGGCTGCTCTTAATCCAGTGGATATTCAAATTGGTAATATACCACAATGGATTGCTAATTGGATATTGTTTACTGGTGTTAATAAACCCAAAGTTCCTGCTGCAGATTTTTCTGGTATTGTTTATAAAATTGGTAATAATGTAACTAAATATAAAATTGGTGATGAAGTATTCGGTTTAAATTTCTCATTAACTGGTAATGGATGTCTTAGTCAATATATAAAACTATCAGAAAATCTACCTACTTTAACTCATAAACCAGCTAATTTATCACATATTGAAGCAGCTGCAATACCACTCGCTTTTCTTACAGTCTATACAGCATTAAATAATTGGGGTGGTTTTCAAAATGATGATACAACTGATCAAAAAGTACTTATCCTAGGTGCATCCGGTGGTGTTGGCCATATTGCATGTCAAATGGCACGAGCAATGAATAAATATGTGGTTGGAGTATGTTCAACTCGAAATATTGAATTTGTTAAACAAATGGGTGCTAATGAAGTAATCGATTATACAATCAATGATATTGTTTCAGCAAGTAAAGAATATGGACCGTATGATATTATTCTTGATTGTGTTGGTGGAACACAATTGATTCCATATCTTAATTCAGATTTTCTTAAATCAAATCAGTCAATTTATTTGACAATTGTTGGTGATAAAACATCACGAGGAGTTATGGGTGGTGTAGCATCTTATATATTTACACCTGCAATGGTTTTTCGATCTTTAAAATCAATGATTGGTCTTGGACCACGATATTATTGTATTAATTTATCATTAACAGAAGAGAATACAAATCAAATGGTTTCTATGCTTCAAAAAGGAATGATTAAACCCGTCATTGATTCAGTATTTGAATTTAGTAATCATGTAAAACAAGCTTATGAACGTTTAGATACTGGTAGAGTGAAAGGAAAAGTTGTAATAGATTTTGATAAATAAATTAAACGAAATGTAACGTCCCCTTTGATTGTAATTTGTTCGTAGCTATATTACATATACATATCGATTTTCTTTTCATTTTTAGAATGCAAAAATCTCTGACAGTAGCTATTATTGATGGTGATATAGCTGGACTTGTTTCAGCGTATTATCTTGAAATATATTTGTAACATTCCGTGTTAAGCGCATACTGTATATGTGACATTTGATTCTCTTGTACTTTATACTTATATTTGTTCTTACTTGGTACATGATGTTAGACTTTGTTCTTATCAAATTGTTCTTTCCGTCCGTATGTTGCTCTTCTATCGTATGGACAAGTATCTATTTAGTATAGAATCGATGCAATTTTAGATAGAAAGAAATATAATAAAGATGAATTCTATCAAAATCGTCACAATATTGTGTAATAATTAGTTTTGAGTATACATAGAATCATTAATAAGAAGAAAGTCTTGCGCTATATTATCCTATTGGAAAACTTCTTAAAAGATATATTTTACATTAGATCTAAATCCGTAACATCTGACTTGTGTCTTTTGGAGTACTGATGTACAACAAATAATCTGATACCCTATGATAATGTTGTTGTCATCAATTAAATTGATTCCATTGAATGCTGATTATTACGAGTGTTCATATAATATGTTCAAAATAAATATACGACAGATAGATAAAGAATAAATATTGTAGTATAAACAATTTATCTGACTCAAAATTTAAAACGAAGAGACGATATACGTTAAGTAAAATAATTCCTATAATCTTTTCGTCACGGTATCAGATTTCCAAATTGACTTTTATTTAGCACATGGAGTCAATAAATGCATCTATATTTATATACAAAAATGAATAACAAAATAACACAGAACAAGATGAAATATATATTTTTGACTAGTTTATTTATGCATATTTTGTTGCTGTAATATTTGAGTGCATTCAGTACAAAACCATTTTCCTTTTGGTGGTGTTATAATACCTACACAGGGATAATGAAACCATTCTCGACGACATGTTGGATTATCACATGCAATCATATCACCATAACTAATTTGATTACAAATACAATAACGTCGTTCATCAATATTTTCTGTTGTTTGTTCATTTAAATTTGATAGAACATTTAATGGATCTAAATCGACATATGTTTCACTATCATATGGTGTATGTTTTAAATTAAAAAAATGATTTGATAATGATTCTTCAGTATCACTTTGATGAAAATCATGAGAATCATTAAGAGTATTTCGTTTTCGTTTTTCACTGTTATTTGTTGATGATGCACTTTGTAAACGTTTACGACCACGTGATGACGATGATGATAATGAATTCGAATACAAACGTTGATGTGATTTTCGATTCAGTAATGACAATGGATGGCATGAATTTGGACCTAAACAGAATCAAAATAAAATTTATCTTTGTTTTTGGTTCTATCATACCAGTTGATAAACGATGAGCTTGTGAAGTTACACAATTCAATGGTAAATCATGTGTTAATGATTTTGGCATTGTTAGATCATCGAATGAATCAAATAAAGGTTCTATATCGATTAGGGATGGATCAAGAATACCTAAAAGAAATGACATTTTGTATAATTTATTAAATTCACATAGTAAGTCTCATATTTTACGTACCATTTTCTCCCATTTTATTCTCATAGTCATTACAATCTTCATTAGCAAAGCCTAAAATAAAACGGTATTTTTCAATGAAGAAAAAAAGTGATTTTAACGTACGTTTTTCTAAAACTTCTGTTAAACCTGAATAATCAGCTTCAAGTTCCATTTTAAATTTATGTAAATCATTCTCAAGTTTTTTAAAATATCGTTCAACAAATTCATGAGAATCATTCGCTAAACTAATTTTCACAGTATTCATTTTAAGTAATTCTTCATGTCTTTCAATAAGTTTATTATATTCAGTTTGTTTTTGTTGCTGAGCAGCTAATTGCTCAGGAGTCATTTCGAGAGATTGATCATTTGTTAGTATTATTGAACGATCTGTCTGTATTTTTGATTTTGTTGGTGATAGTGAAGATTGTTTTTGATAGACACGATAATTATTAAGAAATTCTGATGAATCTTCTTCTAACTGAGAAAATTCTGCTTGTAATTTTAAATCACTTTCACGCATTAATGTAAATTTTTCTCTCATTATGTCACGTAATGGTTCAAGTACTAAATTAAATTAAAATAAAATAAATCTTATCAATATAAAGTATTTAAAATTACATTCAAGATAATCTTTGAGATAATGCATAGTATAGTTTTGATTTTTAAATAATAGTTACAGAAATATCTGAAATTGATATTTTTTATGTGTATATATTTTTATGACAAAACAAATCTATTTGTCACATGAGTAAAAAAAAACAAAAACAAACTAAATCTATGATTTAAACCATCCAAGACCCCATGTTCGTTCTGGTTCTGGTCGTATATAAGCTGGTGGTAATTCTTCTAATTCAGCACTCCATAATTCAGCATTTCTAAACAAACGAACAATAAGATATGACTAATCGTATTTAATCACGGCTTACTCTCGCTGTAGAATATAGTTCGTTACTGATTCATAGTGTAAATCTTCATAAGTACGATTAATTATTCGACAACCAACATTATGAACAAAACCATACATAAATCTAATGAAATAATCATGAAAAATATATGGCAAATCGCTAACTGCTTTAGCTTAGCAAAGTAAAGAATAGTTCATATCGATCGATTTCACTCAAAAGAAAATTCTTTCATCACAACTGAAAAACAATCTATCGTTGCTAAAAAAAGGAAGTATGAATCATTTTTTGTAACTATTATATAAATGCGGCTGTATCAGTCAAAATAATTCAATAAATTTTAATGATCTATAAAATTTTGCTGTATGTTGATAACTATAAATTATCTACTATCTACCCCATAATACTGCCTTGTATCGTCGAAACGAATGCTGCTAATGGACTATGAAACATTTTAAGTGCAAAACCAACAAATGCACCACCTGGTACACAATCATATATTGTTGATTTATTACGATAAGCTTGAATCGCATATTGACTTGTCCTAAAAATAAAACATTGTTTTTTCGATTATTTTCTCATAATAAAATGATGCATACATAAACGTTTCAGTAATAAATAGAACAATGATGGCAATTCTATATGCTTCTTTCATAAACATCACTACATTAAATTGTCGATAAGCTCTCTAGAATAATATGAAAACATAAATATGATATATGTATAATTATTCTAAATAGAGCAAAGCTCACCTCCTCACCTCAGCCGTTAGACGATCTTGAAATTTTAACATTGAAGTTTGTCGAATATAAACAGGTTTCATTTCTTCTTTTCGATTATATCCAAATAAACAACCAAGTCCCATAGCAATAGCAGTACATTGCCAATCTTTAATCTGTGCATAGATTGGATATTTACCTAATTCACTATAAAATAAGAGATCAAAAATATTAATTAGCAATTGTTCATATTCATAGTGCACTCATTCTCTCAATTTCACACTAATGAATTATTATTCACATAGACTTATCTCTCTAGTATTGATATGACCCAATCAGTGTTTTATCTAGCTTTTTTCGTCCGAGGATGCGAAATTAATTGCC